ATTTATAATATTTTCTATAGCGAATAAACCCGACCCTTTCATAAATAATCGACGTTTGAAACATATTTTCTCTTCTAGCTATAATAAAGAGTCATTATTAAAAATATTTTATATCAGCTTAGATTCCTAATTTAATTATTTACATATAAAACGTTCCCCTAGCATCTCTTATTCTTTTGAAAATTTATTGAAAGTGAAAATATTCACTACCTAAAATAAATCATTTTGAGGTGATATTTGGTTAATTTATTTATTATAAAATATAAATGTGTAAAATGTTTAAAAATTTTATTAAAATCACATTTAATGAATTTAATAATTTGTTAAAATCATTGATGAAAGATAGAATTAAAAATACAAGTTAGGGAGATGAGAGAGGGGAAGATTTGATACTTTAAAGTAGAAAGTCCTTAAAATTTAAAATATTCCATTTTTCATAGAAAAGGATGTATCATTTTTTATAGAACAGAAAGGTCTTAAACGGACACAGGCATAGACTTCCTACCCTTTATCTATTGGACCATTTTATCTAAAAATTAGTCAAAATATGTATATTTATGATGACATCTCAATAGAGTAATCCATTAAAAAAAAAATTTTAAATCGGTTTTGTGCCTCTTTCTAAAAAAAACCACGTTAAAAAATTAGCAATGCGCTGCTTTTTTCAGTAAGCTATAGCACGCTACATTTAAAATAAAATAGCGATAGCAGTAGCTCGCTATTAATTTTGAAAGTAGCGAACAATTTTATATAATAAATACATATAAAAATTATTATAATATAATTATAATTTTACAATTAATTCTAAAATCCAAATGTTTTTTAATTTTGAAATTGAAATTTATAATTATAAATCTAGTTTTCTTAAAAATTTAAAATGTCAACAATAGAGATTGATATTGAAGATAATTTTGGTAGAGATCATATCGACAAAGTAATTTCCCTGGAAAATGATGAAAATATGGATTTTTCTCTTCTTAAATTTGCAAAATATTTTAACTTGATAAAAATTAACACAGGATATAAATTTCGTTGTAAGATGGGCCAAGAAGTTTTATTATCAAACAAGACTAGTAGCTTCAACTTGAGAAAACATTTAAAGATAATATATTAAACAAATTTAAAATCAATGTGTATCCCAATCCTTAATCTTTAGAATAAAATTTGAATCAATGCCTTATCTATAATAGTTTTTGAGCTAGATGAATTTACGGGAAAGTTGATTTTCTGGCGACATAAGATATTATTTAAGAATTATATTATAAATTAAAAATTACAATAAATAATAACATCTCATTTTATTATCAGACTCATCTATTTAATGATAATATTTTAAAAATTTTATCTCTGGTGTTGTTAAACGGCGATTTGGTTCTGTTTTAAAAAAAACGGCCCGATTAAGATTTTAGCCAAATTAATATTATTTATGCCAAATTAGGCAAATAGAGATTTAAAATTTTCTGCCATCTATGAGCAAAACCTGCATTTACGTACTAAATTTAGCTAAAATCTTATTCGGGTCATTTTTAATCGATTCAAATCACTAAAATTGCCATATAACTTAATCCAAAGGGTAACTTATTAGGCTAATGGCAACTTTAAATAATATTGTATCAAACCAGGATTCAAAAACGACACTTCCTATAGATGATTTTTTTGAAATAAATAATAATATTGAAAATCCTCTAGATGCATTTTTTAAATCCAAATGAATATTTTTGATCATCTTTCTTATATAAAAAAATTTGTACATTAAATTTAATACTGCATTCTCAAGTTCTAGTATTGAACGATTACTTAGTACAGTAAAACTTTTTCTGATTGTCGCTCTAGACTTGGGGATGACAGTATGTAAATGTTATTATTATTGAAATGCAATGAAAAATAAATAAATTTTATATATTTGAAATTATAATCATATTTTTTTTAAAAATTAGTAGCGTAAAAAGTAGTTAATAGCTGGCTAATTTGCTAATTTTTTGAAAAAATAGCGGTAGCGATAGGTTACATTTTTTGTAAAATAGCGGTTGCGATAGCGCGCTATTTTTAAAATTAGCTTTTATTAATAATGAAAATTACCCCCCCCCCCCCCCATTATTGATTATATATAAATATTATGTTTTGGCTTTAACACCAATTACACAAAAAATAAGAACCTGAACTTATTTAATATTCCTAAAATAAATGCATTAAATGATAATACATAAGCATCTATTATTTAGCCAGAGTTTGAGTGGCCATGAAAGATTATCATAAATAAGATGAGTTTGGCCAATGTTCTTATCTTAAAATCCCAATTTAAAAAAATTAAATATCTGATGAAAATCTGAGGTGTTAATTTAATAAATATTAATAATAGCTCCTTATAGACATCATATTGCAATATTTCATAAGTATAATAAAAATCTTAAATAAGTTGCTTTACTATAGTAAAGCAGTAGCGTAGCCAGGATTTTATCATGGGGGGTTTTTTAAAATTTTTTGGGGGGCTTTGAACACTTAAGTGATTATATTTTTGGATTTGTTAAAATTGTTTTATATTTTCATATAACAAAATTTTAGGGTATTTTATTATATATTTTACATTCCTTTATTTAATCATGTATATATTTTTATTAATTAAAATATTTTCAAAATGTTGATATTTTATATAATACAGATTTTAATATTAAAAATTATAATGTATAAAGACTCTATTTAATAAAAAGTAATTTTTTACAATTATATAAAATATGTGTAATTCTTATGCAAATAATGGTATTTAAAAAATTATGATGATATTATCTTATAAATAATAATACTTTTTTTTCAAAAAAAATTGATTATATATTAAAACTAATAAAATTTTATTGCTATTTTTTGATTTGAATTTAAAAAGAGAGATCTACCTTTCTCTGAGATTTTGCTAATTCATCTAGAATCAAATTTTTATCTAAAATAATCTTCTTATAAATATTCAATAGGGCTAATCCATTTAAACATTTTTCACCGCTTGTGTTTCTTAAATAGGGTTTTAAGCTTTTTAAAGTAGAAAAAGACCTTTCATTAGTGCAGGTACTAATTGGCAAGGTAGCTAAAATAATTAATAATGTTTTGATATTAGGCACCTCCCCCCCCCCCATGCCTACGCCACTGCAGTAAAGCATACCAGGAGTTGACTCGCCCGAAAAAAACTCACGTATATATCATATAGCTCAAAAAGTATTATAGTTAAAACTTTGATTCAAATATCATTTTATAGATTAAGGATTGGGCCATTGATATGATATTTGTTTAATTAAAACCAATTCTAAATCCCTTTTTTGGAAAAAATAAAATTATGCCCAGTCATGCCACTTTTCCCCCGTATCAGGTCAATTCATTAAAACTTTTACGGCGAAACACTTTTTCGCGAATGTGGTTTATCATGAACAAATTTTATAGCAAAGGTAATATCGCGAAACCAATTCCGAATTTTTTTCCGCGAAACCTTAACTTCGAATACATCTTAGCGAAACTTTTATCGCGAACCCATTATAGCGAATTTTCTACTGCGAATGTATTTGCGCAAAGTTATTATAGCGAAACAGTAAAAATATTGCGAATTCATATATTTAAAGGAAAACAACATATTCAATATCAATTTACCCACCAAAGTTCCTTAAATCATAAACGCGAAATGTTTTAAAGATATTTTGTTACTTATTGTCTATTAAGTAAGCCAACCTTCATCTGATATGATAGAAAATAAAATGGCCAATTTCTTTCTTGTCTCTCTCACTCATGGTAATTATGGAGGGGGCATTTTGATTCAAGTTTATACCCCAATAAATTTATCCTCCCCCCCTCTCCCCAACATAAATTTTAAAAATGTGCATTTTGCCATTCAAAGTTAATTTTAACAATTATTCTGAAATGCATAGGAATTTTTCCAATCAAAATAAAATGTACCGAAAGCTAAGAATTTTTGCTGATCGCAGATTATTTTTAAAAATCATAGAAGATTTTGCTAATTAAATTTTTTAGATTTTCTTAGAATTTTAATTAAATTTTCAGAGTTATTAAGACATAGAATAGTGATTAATTTTAAAACTCAAAACCCCGTGGATGTACAAATAGAATTAAACAATAATTTGCAATTCCCTTTGAATAGCATTTTATAGAGCTTTTAAATGCGAATCTTAATATTTAGTATCTGGCATTTAAAAAATATTCAAAATCAGTATATGGAAAAATTTTATGAATAAATATTGATAAATAAAGTCTTATTTGAATATAAAATTTTGGATATGGAATCGGAATCTTTCAATTTTTAATCATTAAATGAGGGCGAAATTTTAAAAATCAAATTTTGATTGGAAATATATTCCAGCATGAGTATAATACCCATATTGGAGGTCTGTGAAACCTAACCTAATCCGATATATTAACCCACCGAACCAGCCTATGGGTTCTGCAAGGTAATTATAATAACCTTTTATTTTCGAGACGGGCCTAGTCTGGACCTAAATTCTAATGAGGTGTAGGTTTGAAAATATTTTTTCTTTACAATTTTTACATTTAATCATTGATATGAATAAATCATGGTTTTAATTGTATAATTATTTCACAACATTTTATATTATTCTTAATTTCATAACTGAAAAATAAATAAAATTAGGGTAAAAATTTGATTTTCTGGGACGAGTTGGGTCGAGAATATAGAATTCATTTTATGTTCGGGTTGGATTTTGAATTTATTTTTTATTTTAGATTTGATCTGGTCAGGAAATTACTTTTCTTCCTACGTTCTGGTTTGAAAAAAATTGTACTCTTGCAAGTCTCAACGCATACTATTAATATCAGATAATAAACTCTTTTTATGTTAATTTATAATAAATTAAAAAATGCACAAAAGTTCATGGCAAAAATCATCTGAAATTCCTATGGGTAAGTTCATTTTATACATGTTGGTCTATATTTACGGTTACATTCTCTTCCTTTCTTTCTTTCTTTAAATATTAAAATTGACAAAAATTTACCATTATGATTTAACGAATACACTAATATCTTCCATATATATCGAATATCTTCTCCTTCATTTTAAAAGATTCGAATATTTGAATATTAAAATATAAATATTTGATAAGTCAATTTCAATACTACAAGTTTTACTACAAATTATATAGTTAACTTCAAAACAATTCTTTATTATTTGTCTAAATCGCTCCACGCATTTTAATGCCAGGTAATAATTTATATTTATAATTTAAACAAATAACAAATATTTGATACAAAAATTAATTATACTTTGTTTTTACTATTTTTTTCACAGAGTATTTACCAAGATAAAATTTCATACAATTTTAAATGATGGAGAAAATTTAAATTAGTAAATAATTTTAAAAATGAGTTAGCAAAATGTTTAAGAATTGATTTTACCTTTATAATTTGGAAAACTGTAAAATTTTTTATAAAATCGAATATATTAAATCATAGTATTATATTTTTTAAATAATACGATAGAGATAATCAAAGTTATTTTATTAGTTCAATAAAAATTTGTACAATTTTTAATTTGGAAAAAACCAAATTTAGGTGCTGAAATATAATATGATTATATAATAATATTTAATTATCATTGAACATATTAATATTATATATTTATACATATATATCCTGGGGTCCTACTATTACCAGAATATAAACTTTGAAAAAAATATCATTAAAAATATATTTTTTCATAAAAATATACAGAATAAGAATGTAAATTGCCTTGTGGCCATTTTCGCCTTCAAAATATAAAGAAAAATATATAATTATTTTACTTTATTCGGAAAAGTCTAAGATAGGATAATGAACGACCATCTTGCAACTAGATCAAATTTTATATGTAATATAAAACCCTAAACTGACCCCTCTTAGCACACCCATCCAAAAGAATTTCGACAGGCTGGATCTTATTTTAATTTTTGGAGGGTTAAATTTAATATTTTTTGCATACTTTAATTTTTCATCAAATTTTTTTTTGAAAATTATGGCTTTTAATATTCCATTTTTCTTCCTACTTTAAAATTTCACATTTAAAAATATTCCTCCATTATTTACCGTCATTTCTCTAAAATATAATGAAACATTTCTTTTTAGGGCCTTCGATACTTATATATATATTTATTTTTAGTAATTTTACATATTTTTATATACTTGTTTTAATATTTTAGTGTTTTACTATTTTTTTAAATAAATAAAAAGTATCATCAAAAAAAATTTTTTTTTATATCTAATTAAAACATGCGTCGTGATAGGGCGCTGAGGGATTCATATCTCCCTCTTCTTCTCCATTTGAAAGGCTGGAAAATTAAAAATATAGATTTACTATTTTATTTTTTTTACAAACTTTAGATAGATTTAATTACCTTCTTTTTTCTTTTTTTTGGCAAATTTTACATAGAATTATTTTTTTTTAAATATGAGCACCCTTGAGTGGAAAAAGCTAACAACGCCATTTCTCAAACATAATAAAACTATCTTTTTAAAATTTCTACCGAGCATCTTGTTCAAAGTTGCAAATTTTTGAAAAGTTTTTGAAATTATTTTAAGAAAGATCTTTTAAAATTTTATTTTATCTGTTAATTTACAATATATAAATATAAGCTATTTAATTTAAATAAAGATTAGTAGTCATTAACCCTTATATTGAGGGGCAATTAGTTGGGAAAAAAATAACACTAGTGGTCACCTTCATTTTAAAATTCTTATATCGCCTTAAATATTGTAAATATTTTTTTTTCACTATGAAAATCTATTTAAAACATGCCATTTTTAATATTTAAATATTGGTAATAAACCTGATATTAAATTTTTTTAACAATATGTATCTTTACCTCTAAAACATAAATATATTTTGAAAATTATTTAATAAACCATATCAAAATATATTGAGGCTTTTTGTAGTAAGAATTTAGAAAAAAAACTAGTATTCAAATTGTGATAATATTCAAACAAAAATAATGTTTGATTAAAATTATTACTTTATTATTTATAGACTATGCAAATGAGATAAAAACGCGTGATAATTGTAGATTTTTCATACTTTAAGGGTTTAACAATTGGAGTTATTGATTTTTTATTTTCGCTTATAATTTTTTTAATTTTTAATTTTTTTCTTTTTAATTTTTCTTTTTTGTTATTTTCCTTTTATGTTAATTTATAATTATTAGAATTTAATAAAGGAATTAGAATCTATATTATGTACAGAATCAATGATAAATGTTTAGAATCCTTGAAAATACGATGAAAGGCAATAAGTATAAGAAAAGGCGGGATGCGAGGTTGAAGTGCGACGTTTGATTTTCAATTCGTGGGGGGGGGCGTGTTATGTGAGTCGTTTTTTTGTGTTAAATTTTAAATTCATTCATTTATTTTTGGTGATGAGTATTTTTTTTTGGTGATCTCGCATAGTCATTCTTTAAATATATTATTATTATTTTGTAACAGAAATAAAAAAGAGTAATTATAAAAGATTGATCATGTCACATGTTTATAATTTTTTAAATTAATTATATCATTAATCAAATTTATATTTACTTTTAATAGATATAAAAAGAGAAAAAAAACAAAATAAATCATTATAATTGCTTATAAAATTTATTATTTTTAAAAGATTATTATTCTGTCTTTCTTTAATTTTATGTCAAAATACTTGAACAAAAGAAAACACATAAATTAAATGAAAAAAGTAAAATTAAAATAACAAAAAAGAAAACAAAAACTAAACTATAATTACATTTATGTTAATCTCCTAAATTATTGTACCACGTCTAAAATATATTTAAAGTATAAGTAAAGTATTAAAATAAATATTATACAATTTTAAAAATTTATTAAGTTCAAAAAAAGGACTTATTTTTTTTATACAAATACAAAAAGATATTATTGGCATCAGTCAACTGTTGACAGGAAATTGATGACAGCTATGACTTAAATTTTATTATAATTGTTTTTAATAGAGCTCACTCATTGATTCTAAAACAAACATGGAATTTTCTGATAAGCTTAAGTTTATTAACTTTAATATTTCGTTTATAATTCACACTAAAAAAATTATTAAAAATGGCCTGGAAAATGTCTAAAGCATTTACTTCAGCTTAATCAAAAATATAGGAAGACTGTTGGCGTTATTCCTTACTTCAACAATATTTATATTTCGTTGAAATATCTACTAGATTAATATTTAAAAAAATATATAATTGATAGAGCAGTATAATAATCATTTTTATCAATCCACTTACTAATAGTTTTCAACTATACCATTAAGTACTTCATGAAAGCCAGTAAACTATCCTTAAAGCGCATTTATTTTTGGTGGTATATTAGTATTAAATAATTTTTGTATATCAATAATGATATTTTTCTAGAAATATAAATATCACAAAACTTTTATTCATATTCAACAAACTTAATGTTAAAATAATATTTTATTGGGGTATTTAATCGAATATAAAATAATTTTTGAAGCTTTAGACGTATAATCTGTTTCTCTGAGTGGGGTGGGATGAAACCCCAGAACAAACTCCGTCGCTAAGCCACTGACTTATATCAACTTTAAATAATATAGAAAACTTATTTCAATCTTTCTAGCTTATCTAGAAAAATAGTAATTTTCTCTCAAAATGCTGTAGTACTCATGGGTAAGAGTAATTAGATAAGGGGCAAGATTGCAATGAATGGGGTTAATTTGTAATAGGCAAGCTAGTCAGTAATATTATAGGGGGGGGGGGGGGATTAAGTAATATTAATATATTTGGAAATCTTAAAAATATATTTTAAAGTATGCAATGATTCCACTGTGTTTCTTGGAGGATTATCTACAAAAATAAATTTTTCATATCAGTAGAGTCACTAGAGGAAATGGGCAGAGGGACGTGAGCCCTCTAAAAAACTTAAAGAGGCCCCTTCAAAATTTTGAATTTTTTATAATACCAAATGTAATTTCGTAAATGTTAGCTAAAAAAAGATAACTTTAGAATTGGTAGCTAAAATTGGAAGGTAATTTATAAAATAATTTTAAAATTTTTTTTTGAGGCATTTGTGATTGTAAAGGCTGGTGATGCACCTGTTTTATACCTTTTAAATTCTGAAATTAATTGGCCTTCAGATATCTCTATTTTCTCTGAATAAAATTTAGCTAAATATTTATTTTTTCAATAAGATTTGATATATGCTCAGACAGAAAGAGTTATATGATATGGTAATTGGGTAAAGCCATTTGATAAATCACAAATCGTTTATTGATTTGAGTCAAAATTTAATCTAAAAGTTAAATAAAAAAGGTTATTTTGTAATAATCCTCGAGTCCATTAATATTGGAATCATTTGTTTGCCTGTAAAATCAAGGCTTGTGACTCTCAGAATCATATAATTTAGCTTTTATCTCAATAGTCACATCAATCAAAATCCTGGTCGATATATTCTCTTGGTCTTCCAACATGTGGTATAATAATATTCGCGATTCACCTTACTTTAGCTAAATCCTTATATTAATTGTTATTTCAATTGATATTAAATCTTTATGTTTGACTGTCTAAGGTTTTATTTCATATTATAACTATACATGTCCATTTGAATGTTTTTTATTTTGAGGCGTCAATTTAACATATTACAGATTAATTTATTTGACCAAGTATATAAATGACTGTGTTATGTATACAAGAAGATTGAATTTTAAAGAAAATAAAAAATTAAATTTGTATATATTAGCAAAATATTATCAACTTATAAGATAACCCAACGTTATTGCAAGTTTCTCATTTTGCAACAATAAGTGCACAAAATTGTTGTGCAATAAATAATTTATGAATAAATTCCAATGAAAAAATCGGCAGTCATATAAAATCTAATAATGTATCAGCTTCAGGTGATATTTGTTTCAGTTGATTCTAATATTTCTCCAAGGGCATATAAAATAGGATCTTCTATCCAAAAAATGCCGTAACAGCTTGGTGTCGAAGGCTCAATCATGTCGTGCAGGCCTTTGGTTTCTTTTCCTGTAGCCTAAGAAGTTTCAGAAATAATTATATTGAGCAAATTCTGCCTATTTGGATATCTGAGCATTTCATACACTAAAAATTTTATCGTAGTTTTTAATAGAAATAAACTAAAATTTTTTAAGGTTTAAAAAAATGTAAGAAAACTTTAAATTCTCGTGAGATAAAATATTAACACACAAGAAATAAATATTTAAATAATTTTAACTTTTGCTAATATTTAGAATCGATATCACCTATTTGAAATAGAATACTTTGCAATTCACAACTCATGAAACTCTTTTATATATTTTGGTAAAAATTATTGCTGTGTTGGTGGATTTATCCCCCCCCCCCCACCCATGCTGGCTACACGCTTGAGCCATTTTGTAAAAAAATTTCTACAGTGGGGGGGGGGGGGGGCTACACACTTGATAATAGGGTGGTTCTATGCCAAATCATGTGTAGGTAATTTAAAAAAATGGGAGGAATGATTCAATTGTACAAAGTGCTCTGAGTGGGGACCCACAAAATGCGCCAACTATCTTTTTACATTTGTCAATATTGTTCAAATAATTATTTATATTTTGCAAAATTTGTTTATAATGCGGCCATATGCCCCTACGTTATCTCATGATCTTGCAACTTTACTTCGGGTATGAGGCAAAAGCAAAAAAAAGTGGATTTTTTTTATATAACTCACATCATGGGAGATAAAAGGACCTAACTTATAATATTTTGTAGAATAATGTTGAGGCAATCCATTGAAACAGTTTAATTGCATGATTTCATATAATTATTTTATCGCCAATATGCAGTAACACACATGCAGGCATGTTCCGGTCTCCTCTATTATGATTACCCATCATTATGTATATAATTGTGAATTCCACTATAAATTATCATGGAAAAATAAAAATGAAAGTTGCATCCAGGGGCCAGAAATATGGGCTCTTAAATTATAGAAATAATTGCAAAATTTTATATAATATATCTCTATAAGTCATTAAGCTAAAATATTTATTTAAATATGTTCGTAATAGCACTTAAAAGTTACATAGTTTAAATTAATAAAAAATTATAGTAAAAATTGGTAAATTATTCGACACTTTTTCCTTCTAATTCTATTATCTTATAAAAATAATTAACTTCAACCCCAAATTTTCAAGGAAATGAAAATGAGGCAATAATAATATTCTTGGGGTGAAACTTCATTGCATGTTCGTTTTTTTTAGTGAATCTAGATATTAGCGGTAGGAGTGTGGTAGAGAAGGATATTTATGAATATAAAAATAAGATGGGAAAAGCCTGTCGGGGGAAATGGCATTTGAAATATTATTAAAATGAAGTGAGGAAAACGGCGAGATGAGTGAGGTCGATAAAAAAAAGACAGTTTATTAGGCAGATCTTGAGTTTTTGGAGACGAATATAGAAATGGGGTTTAATGAAGATTATCTTTTCAATGAGGTACCACAATGTATGCTGTCTTCAAGTTACAATTACAAGGTATGTTGAGGAAGTTTGTTTTTTATTAAATTTTTAATCATAAACTAAATTACAAATACTGATATTGTAATATCTTAAAATAGATGATTACATTTATGCTCAAAATTAGTTACAGAATGTTTTAATGTACTAAAGATATATCTCACAATGTTTCAACAAAATAAGGGCAACATATCTGATCTCATCAAATTAAGGTCAAATTTTAGAAATCACCTGGCATCAAATTAAGGATAACTTTTTTATTCATATTTCTTCAAATAGAGCAAATATTCTGAATAATTCGTCATTCAATTAAGTGCAAATTTCTGATTTACAATAATTATTTTTAATAAAAATTAATTTTTTCAACAGTAGCAAGGAATTTTTCCCAAATTCTTATTTACGATTCAGAAAGGCATTAGCCAGAGGGACGGAAAAAGAATATTTCTATGATAATTATATAGAAAAGAAAAGGAATTAATAAGGTAAATTATCTCAAAATAACAATTATAAAAAATTTATTTAATATAATTTGTATGAGTAAACATACAGTGTATATCTTTGTATATAATACCTACAAATTTGCCAATAGGATTTTTCCGCCCAGTTTGAATATTCAAAATATTCTATTATGTAAAATTTTCCATATATTTGCTTTGTGGTTGAAAACATACTGGGAAATGTTTTTTTTATGAGGATTAAAATTTATCATGATAAATTTATGGAGTATATTGTTCTTAGTTACCCTAGAACCAAAATCTCTTTTCTTTTAGAAGTTAAAATTGAAATTGTACTTGCTTAAGAATAGAAAGTAACTGAAGCAGGAAAATAATTATATGTCACAAAGGTTTTATTATATAAAGTAAATTATTCTTCGACTTACAAATCATAAATGTCTTAAAGATTCATAAAAGTTAATAAAATTAGATTTAATATATGGTATAAGACAACATATAGCAATTATAAATAACTATCAAATTAATTGAAATACGAAATACTTATCCGTAATCATGCAATAGCCTCCTGCTATATATTAAATCCATATCAAGATAATACCTAAGTTAGCTCCAGAAAAAATAGTTTTTTCTGGATATGAGGGTCAAAATTTTTTGTTAACTCAATCAAGGTATATAGCATGTGAGGCATGCTGACGATACTCGAAAACAAAGATTTTTTTGTATAGGATAATTTACGACCTTATCTAATATTGTAATAAAAATACTTAATAAATAACGTTAGGCACTATTTAATTTATCATAACACATAAAATGAAATGAAATAGGTGCAAAATTCTGAGACTTAATATCAAGTGTATCAAGGTTTTATCTGTGATTCATCTCAAAAGTAGTTAAAAAAATCATCTAATAAAAGAGAAAAAATAAAAATTACTCTTTCATTTTTTTTTACATTTCTCTCTTATCTAATTTTTATTATAATATATCTGCCAGAGACAGTAGCATTGTTAGGAAAAGGCATTTAGGGGCTAAACCCCCTATGCAGTTGAGCAGATATAAACCGATATCACTTTTTTCGACGATAATGAAACTAAAACACGAACGATACTAACAAGATATCAACTGATACCACAATAAAATAATAATGTAGTATATCTATTAGAAAAAGCAGACATGTTTATCAATATTATCACTTATAATTGATTTATGAAATTTATAAAGGTAAAAAAAAATAACAGCATCTTTTTTCTTTTTTATCGGTTCAGAATTGTATGAGTTTTTTTATAAATTCATAATTTAATGTTGGAAATTTTTTTATATGAAGTTATTTATCATTTTTAGGTGTCTGATATAGGCATCGGTTAAAGTGAAGGCATAGGTCGATATCAACTATGACTGATATCAACTATGACTGATATCGTGATATTTGATGTATTTTTAGTAGATGTACTGGCCTTCTCTTTTTGGACCAGGCTAATTTTTTAAAAATAACTAAATCTTGACCAGTTGGTAATTAGTTATTTTTTAAAATTATATTGGCGCATTTATTTTAGAAAAAATGAAAATTTACGAATAAAAAAATATTATTTTTTACCTTATTTTGTTTAAAATATAATAAATGTCCATATAATTATTATTACTATTTCCATTAATAGGTATTTCAATAAAACACAATTTATTAATAAATATTTAACCATTTAATGTAATCAATGACGTAATTATAATAAAATTATATATACAACAATTTTTTCAAATAACGTGGGATATCATGATTTTTCGCCAATCAATCCCTCCATATCAAAAATCTTTGAGATAGCTTTATCAACTGATTTCAGATTAATTTTATCTGAATCACCCAAATGATTAATATCATCTAGTTTATCCTTTTTGTTATCATCCAGATTTAATATAATTTGTGCTAACTTACCAAGGAACTCCTCCATATTTTCGGTAGATAGATGCATATGGGCAATGTCTGGGTGTTTTTCTATAAAAAAATTCAAACATTTATGATAATATTCAGTTTATTTAACAAATCAATTTATTAAAATATATAAACAATGATTTTCTACCTGAGAATTCCAGCATAATTTCATTTGTAACCCCACAATTCAGAAATGCTTCAACTATCCTGGCTTTGAAAGGATCGACCTCCCTACACAATCGTGAAGCCTTCACTGTATTTTTAGCCTTTTCACTGCTATAATTTGCTAAGTCATTTTCGTAAACCTCAATTAATTTTGATAAATTGTCTATTTCATACTGTTTTTCCTTTAAGGTTTGCCTTAATCTTTCTGCCTCCATTTCTCTCTCTATTTAATTTTTTTTATATACAAATGATAACATATACTTTTTTTAGATATATCTTATACAATATCAGTGGCGGGGAGGGGGGCATAACCTCTGGATATATTTATTAAATTTCTTTCATTACGAATAATTTTATTTAAAAAAAACAAATAAGAATTTTAAATGATAACACGATTAATATAATTATATGAACTAAAGTATTATAAAAAACGGGGGGGGGGGGGGGGTATTTTATAATTTTTAAATAAAAGAAAAATTGCTTAATTTGGTATATTAAATCTGCATGGATACATGTTTTCAAATTGTAATCATGGTATTTTAATTTATTTTATGTAATTTGAATTAGAATATATTGATGTTGACAATGAAAATCAGCCATCAGATGATTTGGGCTAGGAAATCATCAAATGGCAATCATGGTAATGATATTTATTTATTATCTTTTAAGTCGTCTTGTATTTAGAAATTCAAATAATATTATATACTGGAATAACAAATAAATTGGCTAGAAAATCATCAAATGATGATGATGATGGTATATATATTTTAATTTATTTATAATATCTTAAGTTGTCTTTCAATTTATTAGAAATACTATGCAAACAAATGAATTAGCTGGAAAATAATTAAATGATGTTGATGGTAAATTTTGTTTTATTTTTACTATATTTTGGGTAATTCCAGGAAAAATCGACTGAAATAACGTGACTTTCATACGACCATTATAAAAATAGATGAAACCTGGCATGAAGGTTAAATATAATATTTTATACAAATCAAAATTTTAATGCTCTAGCTCAAATATATTCCGAGTTATGGACCTTCAAAATTTGATGAGTCTTTTCCTCTTTTAACAAAAGTCAAATTACTCAACAATTTTTAATCTAAAATAACAAATTATTCCATTTTATAGCCCTTAAAATTCTCTTTAAATAAAATGCAAAAATTATTTTAAAAATATCTTTACTATAGTTGTATTTTCGGTTATGCAAAATATTATTTTGGAGCCTTTCTTAAACGATAAAACTCATTAAATATGTTTATTACTACCTATATATTTAAATATTTAAGTAAAAATATTAATGAAGAAAATATGAAATTAAAGTTTATTTAGTATTTTATTTTAGGAATAAAAAAGTCAATTATAAAGGACTCTGAAACGATGAAATTAATTATATATGTTTTTACCAATATATTTAAAGGTAAAAATATTAACGGAAAATAAAATTTTTATTAAGGTAATTTTAGAAATAAATAAATTATAGAGGAAGCTTTTTTAACGACAATTATAATGTATTTTATAAATAAAATATGCATTTTATGGTATAAATAACCAATAATATTTCTATAAAATTATCACATACACTAGAAATTATTAAAAAAGTACCTATTTTTGCATTCCAATAAAAAGAAAATATATTATAATTATCTTTATCGATAGCGCCATCTATAATTGATTTTTAATTCCTAAATTATAAAAACTAAACTTTATATTCTTATTTTCTCCGTTTTTTTTTGAAATAATATTATAATTTATTTATATAAGATTAATTTATTTATATAAGATATAAAATAATTAGGGATTGCACATTCTAGTAGGGAAAAAAATAAAATGTATATAACATTTTTACAATCGAGTCCTGGTAATAAATCGAATTTGCCGAATATTAGGACATTGGTGTCTAAAAAAATCAAAAACTAGTAAATTAAATATAGACAAATTTATAATTTCTCTATCATGAAGTTCCCTTTATTTGGTACCTTTGAAACAAAAGTAAAATGGCTTGACTAAATTTTAATAAAATTATTTTTTTTATTACTTCCAATATATACTATATTCAAAAAGAAAATGGTCTAGAAATCTAGATACCCAATTTGGCGAGAAGCAACTAAAAATAATTTACTAAAGATTCAAATTAAATGTATAAGAAACAATTGCTTGGGCTTTGACAATATGATTAAGATATTCCTGATTAAAATTTAAAAAAATTCCTTAACTGTATAGATAATTTAATTTGTAGTATTGTGTTATGTAGGACCTTCATCCATAATTTTAGATAATTGAGCAAATTTAGAGTTAATAATTTGTCAAATTTAATGTTCATAAATATTAATTCACCTTCGATATCAGAGTGGATTCCAGATTCATATATGAAAATATGGAAAAGTAATGTGGAGTAAATATAAATAAAAGAATTATGTAATTTTTTTAAATTTTTATTTATGTTGTATTGGGATATGTGATTCATGAAATTTCTGAATTTCTCGAGGGAGATTTTTAAATTCAAAAAAAAATGTGATTCAACTGGAGGATTCTCAGATGTATAAAATATTGTGAATTTCAGAGTCTTGAGATGTTTTTGAACTACTATTAATTTACAAAATTTTATAAATATTTAATATATAAATTAAAAACTAAATAAAAGTTCATTGCAAAATTAGCCTAAAAATCATAGATGTGGGTATTCTACTTATGTTAAAATACATTTCTGTTAATATCAGATTTTTAAAATTTTAAGTTTATCATTAGTAAATGATAATGTTAAAAACCCCAATTTAGGTTGATTTTTAAAAATGACAAGATATTAACCAAAATAAATAGTATTATAAGTTTCAAGATTTAGAAAATAGATGTCCAAATCTTTCTGTCATCTACAAGCAAAATCTCCAGGCTTATATAATATTATTTTGGCTAAAATTCTTATCTGGCCATTTTTTTAAATGACCCAAATGGGGCTTTTTAATAACACCAGCAAATGATGTAAAATTGAGAGATTTTGAATTCCTATAAATTCCATATCTCTAAAGCAACACATATTTTAATTGGTACTATTAAATTTGTGACATTATTTTTAAAATATAATATAAGTTTTTAATCAAAAAAAATTTAAACATCAACATTGTATGATTCTTGTTCAATACAACTTATATCATATTTTTTGAGAATGTATAAAAAATTATAGCCCCCCCCCTAGTTTTTAGCAAATAGATTGCTAGCTGTAGCTAACATTCTTAAATTATAAAGAAAATAAATCAGTGAAAATAAATCAGTGGTCAGTAAGTGAGTTGATCAAATTATTTCTCATTAAATACCAGCAATATTTTCATCAACACAACAAAAAAATCAATAAGATTATGTATTTAAAGCCTCTTTCCTTCATAAAATATTAATGAACTAGAAACAATGAAATTTATTTACTACACTTTCAAAATATCTTCAAATTTATGCAGAAATAAAATTTAATGAAAGTGCTAAATCTCACATCATAGGAGCAAAAGACCTTAAGTAATCATAAATGAATTATAACCCTTCAAAACTTGAAAGATAAAATTAAAACAGATGCTTTTAAAAAATGTGTTTGTTATTATTAATATAAGAGAATGTGTAGAAGGGTAAAAAAAAATAAACCATTAGTGTAATCCATGAATTCTTTTGTGAATATAGGTAAATCTTGATGTAATAACTCATTATTTGAGAGTTGCATTGATTTTTTTGATGCTTTATAAACTTTAGAGTATTTTTTATTTAAAAATTTAGAGGATTCTGATTCATCTATATTGTTAATCTAAGCTAAGATTAAATATACATTTATCAAAAAATATATTACATTTTTTATTTCCTTGATACCTTGGTTTAAAAAAAGGAAATATAAATTGGGTAATTGATATTTACTTTTTAGTCTTGATTGTTTAAATTTCATAAGTGTATTTTGATAAGATTTGTAATCATCAGTTTTTTGATATTCTTCATAATCTTTCAAGTATTTCTCAAGATCTAATTTAGATTCATTATGGTACTTCTAAAATTTATATAAAATTTTAAAAATAACATCGTTTGGAACTTGTTTAAGTTCAGATGTGAGATTATTCCATTGAACCCCCATTATTTTTAATATATCCCTACTTGAAATATTTGGATTATCAATTCTAGCTTGTTCTCTAAAATCATTTAAAAATCTTAAATAGCCTGTAAGAGGACGAATAGGCGCATTAACGTCTTTCAAAAATTTTAATCCTTTCTAAAATAAAGAGTTTTATTATTTATATGGTTTATTGTATGCTTAACTTTTTCATTAATCTCTAGTTCCATTTTCTAAAAAAAAGAATAGATTTTTATAATTTTTGAGCTACAGCTATCATTCAAAGATTTTTTATATGTATATAAATATAAGTATTAAAAGTAATGGAATATTCTAAGAATATACATATTAAACCTCCAAACGCTATGTATTGTTATCCAAATTATAAGATACGTGAATTTATAACCAGGTTCAAAGCTGTTTTATACATTTTACTTTAAATTTTAGATAACTGAACTAGGGTAAGTTAATGAATAGGGTAATAAAATATGATAAAGATATAGGCAGAATTGAATTTCGCTAAGGGTAGCTGTAATAAATTATATTTATTATATAAATATGATAAATTATTATTTGTTATATAAATGTAATAAATTATTATTTATTACATATTTATAAAAAGAATAGAACATTCGGAACATTCTAATTAAAATAACACATGTGATGTGATAATTTTAAAATATGGTTAGACGATATAATTTATTCCATGTAGTTTTCTAAATAGCTAATTATTAGTCATTTTATTATTGGCGACATGTGGCGATTCATTAAATGAAAAAAATAATTCCTTAAATGGAGATTCAGAAAATTTGGCGGATAAAAGAAAGGCGGATTTATCTACTATTGAATTTGATAAATTTGATGGATATAATTTGATATGTCGTTATTTTTCTCAATGAGAAGTCAGTTTTGGGTTAAAAAACGTAAGCCCTACTGAATGTCAATATAAAGATATATTTTTAACATTTTTTGGTAATAAGAATATTGAGTTGGTGGACCGTTCTTGTTAAGAAATTTTAGTAAATATGTTTTAAATTATTTAAACCGACGTCAACAACTTTTGATTTTAGATTTTATTTTGTTAGACTACGGAGAACAATTGAATCCATAACTGAATTTGCATATAAAATTAAAACAATTTGCAAGCGATGTCAATATCTTAATGATATTGACGAGCGTTTACGTGATCGGTTTTTCGTTAGCATGGAAATGGCTGGATTGGAAAGAGATCTTAGGGCTCTATAAACCGACGGTCTTGATAGATATAATAATATATTGACTTGCCAATTTATTCTTGATCTGGCAAACGCTTATAAAATTATATCGGTTGTCAATATGATAAATGATAAAAATAAATGATGATAATAATTATTATAAACATCAATTTAAAACGAATACGTTTGATGAAGGCTATAATAAAGCCAGGTATAACAATATATTTGATAAAGGGAATAAAGACAAATATAATAAGACCTTTGATAAATATTATTATAAACTTAAATGTTATAAATGTGGGTTTATTCATTATCGAGAAATGAGATGTCCAGCTACAAATGAGGCATGTAACAAATGAAAAAGAATTTGGTGCAGTTAGATGCAAATCAAAGAATTTTAATTATATAAGAGTGTCATCAAGTGATTCTATTCAAAACATATGGAAGATTCAAATTCGACAGAATCGAGCAAAACTAACTGCAGAGATAAATTGATTAGATGTTGAATTTAATTTTGACACTGTGCACAGGCATCATTGATCGGAATTGATATATGAACAAGTATTGGATGAGCAAAAATTAGGCCAACTAGTCCATTGACTACATATGGTGATAATCCGTTAGACGTTGAGGGCGAGACCCAAGTCAACTTTAGGATTGGATCACGTTGATTAAAAAAGTGCGCAATTTGGTCAACGCTATTGACGCAAAGAAAAATGTTGCAGCAGTATATTCTTGAATTCTAGATTTGGTTAATAAACATCAAGCAATTTTTGATGATTAGATAGAACATATACGTGATTTTGCGGTGCGAATATATTTAAAGGGTACTGCTGTACCAAAATTGTTTTCAGGTACCATTTCCACTTCACAATTCACAAAACAATTGAAATGGAATTAGACCGATAAGTGGCTGCTGGAATTATTGACAAAGTTGATTCGACTATAACGAGGGTACAGCAGTGGTCAACGCCAATCGAAAATGTACGCAAGAGCAATGGCTCTATTCGAATTTAAGTTGATTTTAAAATTACGCTTATTCCATGTTTATTGTATGACCATCATGTTATTCCTACCTTAGACTATTTGTTCGAGAAAATCCACAAGGTGGTGATAAATTTACAGTTATAGATCTGAAAAATGCATATTTACAGTTGGAAGTTTAATCGGAATCTCAGGAATTCCTAACAAGGGTGACTCATAAGGGGCATTTCCCTTATCGACGATTGTCCCTTGGATTGGCAAGTGCATCTACTATATTCTAAAGATATATTGATGAATTGCTAAAAAATACTAAATGACTGGAGCCTACTTCGATGACGTAGTTATTTCTGGTCAAAACAATGAGCACATAAAAAAATTGCGAATCGTGTTAGACAGATTACAGGAGGCTGATCTTAAGGTGAAATTGACGAAAATTTTATTTTCACAAAAATCAGTATCATTTTTAGGGGTTATTATTGATAAATTCGGTATACATCCTAATCCAGAAATGGTGAAGGCCATCCGAAATGCAGCAAAACCTAAGAATATACAACAAATTAGATCTTTTCTAGGAGTCGTGAATTATCATGAACGTTTTATTTGTAATCTACATAGGAAAGCGGCGCTATTTAATAGATTAACGAACGTGAAAATACCTTGGTGGTGGACGAAAGATGAACAAAATTCCTTCGATGAGGACAAAAAAATTATTGTCTCCGAGAAAAAGTGAATTCCTTATAACGCGCAGTTGCCTATAATTTTGGAATGCGACGCATTTGATTCAGGATTAGGGGCTGTGTTGTTATATCAATTGGTAGACGGTAGGTCAAACCTATTTTGTTTGCGTCATAAACTATATTAGAATCAGAGAAACACTACGTTCCGATAAAGAAGCTCGAGCCTTTTAATTGGTATTGAAAAATTTTATTCATTTATTTATGGTAAAATATTTTTACTTCGAAATGATTACAAACCATTTGAGCGATTATTTGGGGAGAAACACGATCTACCTACAATTTCTAATAATCGTTTGACACGTTGGGCTTGGAAGATGGCTTCTTATGATTTCATAATAGAATATAGACCCGGTAGTAAAAAATGTAATCACTGATGCATTATCAAGGTTTTCGATATTAGAAATGGAAGAGAATCAAGATTCTAAACATGCTTTGGAGATTTGATGTATTAATCTGTATGACATGCAATTGTCAGAAAATATTCTACGAAAAGAGTCGAAGGAAGATTTAATATTAAAAAAAATAGCGATGCACATTCAGCAAAGTTGATGAAACTTTAATCATCATAAAGATAAAGAAACTGTTAATTTCTATGATAGACGGGAAGTAGATCATGATACTATAGAATGGAATGGGAGATTAAATATTCCTAAAAAAAATAAAAAATGCTGTGTTAGGAATGATTCAACTGGGACACCTGGGGAAAATGTAATGAAATCTATATTTCGATTTTATTGTTGGTGGCCCATATGTGACATTGAAAAACATGTTATCAAAATATACTCTGAATTCCTGAAAAATAGACCTGGGATTCAAAAGTACCTCTGTATTTTTGAACTGTAGGTAAGAAATTTTGTGAGCGAATCCATATTGATTGACCAGTGGATTCTCGATAATGACTAATTGATGTCGATTCCTACTCCTTGGTTTATAACAAAAGAATTAATAAGAAATGGTCTTTTATTTTAATGTCATAATTTTAACACAAGGGGGCGCCGGTATCTTAAAAATAAAAGATACAAAAAAAAATGGGTTTTTAAGGGGATAAAATTTGTTAGTATTAGAAAAGTATTAATAAATTTTTGGGAATATTTTAAAATATAATTTTTTATTAATTCAAGGGAGGAGGTTAAAAATTTTAAACAATTAGATTTTGAACTGTATAAAGTGTTTTGGATAATAGAATTTATAAATTGTTTGAGAATAGTTTAAAGTTGAGAATAATGTTATTAAACAGCTCTATTTGAAGCGGTTTTTAAAAATGGCTAACAATATTTTATCCAGAAAAAATACTCTAGTCTGAAGATTTTATCTATTAGCGAAATCTCAAGGCTTAGGTAATATTTTTCTGGCTAAAATATAGAGTTAACCATTTTTAAAAATCGGCTCATATCGAGCCGTTTGATAACACTAGTTGAGAGTGCCAATTTTTTTTTTACTCTAGGAAAATAAAAAATTCAAAAAAAATTCGATTTGGATCAGATAATAAACGCAAATATTAAGATGCGATTGGTAACTGGATTTTAAATTAATTAATTATTTTGAGAAATTTGATGTTATTTGAGAATGCATTAATGATAATGTTTTAATTTTGAAAAATAATGTAGTTTTGGATAAAGAAATGAATTTGAAAAATATCTAATTAATTAGAAATATTTTTAAAATTTTGATATTATTATTTGGCGAATTATAAATTAATAACAATGTGGGACTAGGAGTTAGCAACCATATTTATTAAAAGATAACACTAACGGAATATATAATAATTATTTACCTTATTGCGAGGGCCCAAATTAAGGTATTAGATCACCAAGAACATGATTATAAATTATAGTGGGGATATGGGTTAGTAATAACCATAATCCTCTCATAATTATACAATTAACCTTACCGATGACCAAATTATAGTATTGGGTAACCAAGGGTAATTTAGATTTTAATGAGGATATGAATTAGCAACCATAACCCTATGAATATTATGATCATGACTAATTAGTTGTCCTAATATGTAGGCGCCCAAATTAAAGATTATGCTATTAAGAATGAAGATTCGATTATTATAATTATGAGATTGCTGTAAAATCTAGAATTATGGGTCCATAATTTAAACAAAAGATTAATATGAGGTGACGGTGACTTAGTGGTTGTAGAGCAATTCAGGGTTAGTGAGGATCATCGATATAATATGAACCTACCTAAAATTTATGATTATAAAATGATTGTTTGTTATGATTTAATTATGTGATCATGGTAAGGCTCATTGATAATGATAATTATAAACCTACCTCAAAATAATGAAGACGAGGATTAAGTATTCATAATTTAAGTGAAGAGATGAATCTAAGGTGACGAAGACCTTGTGGCTGTACAAGCAACAGGATTTTTATGGTATTCAAAGTTATTCTCTATTTGGGTTCTTCAAGGATTACGATCGCAGGCATGACGTATGTTAGGAATTGGTTAAAACCACTTCGTGGCCGTGCAAGTGATAACGGAATCTTTAATAATTTAATGTTAAACGCCGTTTGGGCTGTCCAAGGTTTTATACACTAGACATTTAACGAATATGATATGACCTCTCAACGTGGAAGATGAGTTGTAAAAAGTGGCGAGGGAGAGATGTAAAAGTAATGAATACATAATCTAAATTGGAGATTTGGTAAGAATAAATCGGTTTATTCTATAATATGATTATTTTGTATGTAAATGATTTTATAAAATGTCTGTTAGAAAAAACTATTGAACATAACTTGTGGCACTTCCCTTTGAAATATAACCCCTAAAAGATCTAATCAGTTTGATGGGCATAAGAAAAACCAAACGTTGCTCTATTGTTTTTTTGCAACATAAAAGGGCAATGTACTTACTGAATAGAATAATATTATATTTTTTTAAAGAAACATTTCTTTACCCTTTTTTATTTTTCATTTATATCATTTAAGTTAAAACTGAATCCATTACATCTGATTACATATGCGTAGCCAGGAGAGATGGTGGCAAAAGAAAATCCACTCTTCAGTAAATTGCCTGCTCTCATAAATATCATTTTAAGCTAATAAAAATACCTCCCACATTCCCTCTCCCTCTACAAAAATGACACTATTATATCATTATAAACTAGATTTCAAAAGAAAAATAAATAAAAGTCAACAATTTTTTAAAATAACAACTATAATTCAAAATTTGTAGAAATAATTCATTATTATATTTAAAAAAAGGAACCCTAAGATTATTTTTATAAAACTATAATATATCTAATGGCTACCAATAAATGGACCCTTAGTGAAATCCAATTCTAGTTACACCTATATCATGTTTTATTACTCATTAATAAAACGACCAATAATTAGCTATTTAGAAAACTACCATGGATTAAATTATAACGTTTTATATTAAAATCACATTTATTAATTAAATTAGAATGTTCTATTCTTTTTTATAAATATATAATAAATAATAATTTATTACATTTAAATAACAAATACAAATTTATTACATTTCCTCCAAATATTTTTAAGTTAGATTTCCTCAATAAACCTCTTTGTGAGTTTACGGTTTCTTGATGAACAACGTAATGCAGTATTTGTACCTGCTTCATTTACTTGCACAACTATTTCTGTAACTTCCGATGAACTTTCATGGAATAATTTAATGATCTCTTAGCTAATCTGCGTGTTTCCGCAATGTACTTTCGGGAGTTTCAACAATATATATAACCCTGTCCTTTCTTTAATCACTCCCTTTCCCATTGGCGTTCTCATTATTTAACGACATGGGTTGTGAAATCTCGAATTCTCTTCCTCTCGAAATGTAAATCATGATTTTGACTTTGTTTTATATTTGCCCTTTCAATTTTATGTTCTACATTTGGTCTTATCCAGTCCAAACTAGTTTTCAATTGTTTTACAAACATAATCTTGGCAGGATATCTTCCTGTAGGGCTATGCTCCTCCAATCGATGTTGATGCAACTTGTAACAAAGCTTCTTCTGGATCAGAAATTGACTCCCTCGTTGCGTAATATCGACCTTTCAATGTTCGTATTGTACGCTCAGATAATCCTTTAGTTTTCGGATGATAGAGTGTTATAGGTATATGAGGTATGTTATTTAATTCACAGTACCGACGGAATTTCCATATATGAATTGTGGTTCATTGTCTGACACCACAATTAAATCGTTTAATCATAGACTCAGTAGAGATATTCTGCGTTAGATCAACTTCTAGCTAAAAGATGCTAATAAATTTTATATGCATAATTTTTAGATAAATAGATAGCCCGTCAAAAATGACGATAGAATTTTCTTCATATATTTATGCTAGATGTTACCTGTTATTTGAAAATTATATCCAATTTTATTCTTTTACCCCTTCCCCCCTTCAGGCCAGGTTTAATCCATTAACCCTTCAATACTCCGGTGAAAAAAATGACGTTAGTACTCCAGTGGGGTTTAATAGACCCCAATTTCAAATGTATATATGTCCAGTTATATTCATTATTTTGATTTAATATTTGAAAATAAGATAGAACTAACCTTAAACTTGATAAAATATTTATTTATTATTATTTCTTAAGTTTAGATTAAAGATGGTGAGGATAATTATAATTTGTGCCAAAATTTTCTAAAAAAAAAGCTTACTTTTTTTAAATTGGAAATTAAAAAAATAACTTATCCATCATATAATCCTGATAATTCATAACATGGATCTTTATTCTTCAATATTAAAAAAAAATTACACTGATAAATTCAAATATAAAAAAAATATTGAACATTGAAATATGTTAAATTTGACAATCAAAACATTTGTTACATAAAATATTAATGTGTTCTAAACATAAATTTATTTTGCATATTTGACAAAAATATTTAGTTTTTTTTATCCTTTTCTAGGACACACACCACACCTTCCTATTGAAGGCTTAATATTCTCACTTTGTTGTTTGCCTAATATATTGTAAATAGATTCTTTTAGAATTCGCGGCAATCTGAGGCAATTTTTTCTTATTTCCAAATGGGGAGTAATAAGTTCCATAGATAATTTTTTAATAAAACTACTTCTAGTAATTGTTTTGTTTGTGTTTGCAGTATATATAATATGGGAATTTATGGTTGTTATGTTTAAAAGTGTATAAAAAATGGTTAAGGGCCATCTATATGACCTTCTTGAAATTGAATAATTTTCTGTAATTTGGTCAACCATGTCTACACCACCTTTAGTCATATTATAAAAAGTTATGATTTCAGGTTTTTGTTGGTTATTATTATCAATATTTTTATTATGATGGAATGTTGATAGCATTATGACATTATTTCTTTTTTTTGGAACATATGATAATAATATTATGTTTTCCTGAAATCCAAATATACTATTATAGATTTCCCTCCCCTTTGTTAATATAAAATCATTAGGAATTTGTGGTTTATTCTTCCTTAATGTGCCCACTAATGTTAATTTGTGTGTATTTAGTAAGCTTAATGCAGTATCATAACTTGTAAACCAATTATCCATGGTTACATTGCGACCTGAACCAGATATTGGAAGAATTAATCTATTGACTACATCTGCTGGTTTATTACTTATTTGATATTGTCCCTCTGGTTGATTTCCAGTATATATTTCAAGATTTAGAGTATAATATGTTTTGGCATCCACCAAGGAGTATAGTTTTATGCCATATTTGGATGGTTTGTTTGGCATGTATTGTCTAAATGGGCATTTACCACGAAATGCTGGAAGCATTTCATCTAGGGTTACATATTCTGATATTGTATAAGATTTGTGGCATATCAACAAAATCTTGAAAAATATTTCTAATGTGTGTTGCTTTGTCTACCACCTTTCTCTCTTCACTTGTTAGTATGTCATCAAATCTCATTGCATGAATTAGAAATCTGAATCTTTTAAGAGGCATTGTTACTCTAAATATATCAATTCCAAACCCATCAGATTTCCATAAATCAGACATATTTTGATGATTAGATTTAAAAATTCCAGCTAAATAAAGAATTCCCAATAATGCTTTGAATTCAGTTATATAAACTTCTTTTGTAGAACCTTCACATTGATTATAATTTTGACTTACAATTTTAATTTTTTGGTTGGTATGATAAATTATCTCTTCAATCATTTTTGGTGTTATGAACAAGTCAAAACATTTTTCTGGAGTGTCAGCTAATTTCCCATATTCTTTTACTCCTGGCTGATCAATAACTATATTTTGCTGACGAGTTCTTATTCTCTGATTGGGTAAATCCTTTTTCCATTGAGTAATCTTATTTTTAGCTAATTTTAAAGAGAAATATACTATGATAAATGATTTTATATTAACCTAAATAATACTTAAGCTTATTATCTGTTTCAGCTAATATATCTTCTTCTTCATCTAATTCAGATTGTGTATCATGATCACTATCATATATAAAATCTTCATCCTCACTATTAATTATATTATCCAAATCACCTCAAAAAAAATATTACATTTATATATTTTATATTTACTTTCAGAATCTGCAAAAATCATAGTAGATGATAGAAATAATATAAAAAATGAGTTTGTTGGAGAAAATAAACATAAAATAACTCCACCAGAAAAAATATTTGTGTTTTCAATTTCATATATCTCATTCAAAATATGTTATATTCAAATTTCGTTTTAATAAAATTTATAATATAGTGGTATATATTTATAATTATAAAAGTTTTAAAAAAAAAATTTAAAAAAAAATTACGAATTTACTCCGGTGGGGTCTCACAAACCCCAAGCAGTCACAAAATGCTTATATGTTAAAAACTACTCAACCAAAATATGTGAAATTTGGAATATAGATTCTAAGATATATTTGATGAAGCTACTGAAGAATCCAGATCATGATAATTAACCGTTTTTATGCAATATCATTTCCAGCATGCCTGGGGTTTCCTACACCCCACCGGAGTATTGAAGGGTTAAAACTAAGACTAAATACTATGGTTTGAGTAAGAAATTAAAAGCTTTTACTTGATAATACCTGTTGGATTTTGAAGTCGATTATTATAAAAAAAAAAGGAAGATTAAATATTAAAATATATATAACATCAAACCTTTTTTGTATTTAGAAGTACGGGTAACTTTATTTTGAAATAGAATTAATTGAATAATAATTGGTGAATAATTGAATAATTATTCGGTGAATAATTTTTAATGATTTTGTTTCGTATATATATATCTTTTTTCTTTTTAATATAATTACAAATTTGAATGGCGAACGAAATTAATAATTTAAACATATACTAACAATGCCCAACTAAAATTATAATATAATAATAAGTAATTCTAATATTCAAAATATAAAAAAAAGGAATTCATTATTTAAAAAAATGAATAAACTTCACAATAATAACTAATTATAATATTCAAAAAAGTAATTACATAACAATATAAAAAAAATAAATAAAAAAAAGGAATTAATTATTTTAAAAAAAGAATAAATACAACAATACCAATATGTTAAATTTATTGATCATTTATACCTAATATTTATTATTAAAAAAAATTCCCAGGTAAAGGACAAAGCCATAATAATTTTGAAAAATTCATCCAAGCCCAATAAAAGATCATAATAATAATTTTGGTAGTTGAGAACTGAAATAAAACATTTAAATAATCATAATAAATTTAAAAATACAATAAAAATTAGATTTTCATGGGCCTTGGTTTTGCCGAGCCCAGGCCTGCAAAATAACTTGTTTTAGGCCAATGTCAGACTCATAGTTAATAATAAAAAAATTATCAAACGTCTAAGCTCATAATAATTTCCCCCAAGCCCAGCCCAATATAATTTATAAAAATATTTTCCAAGCCCAGTCCAACTCATAATTTTATAAAAATATTTCTCAAGCCTGGCCAACCCATAGTAATTTTGAAATTTTTTTTCCAAACATGGAGATAGGTAAATCTTTAAAACCCATATCTATTTTTTATTCTATCTTAACCCAGCTCACCCCTACTTCAGACCAAGGCCAACCCATTTAGACTAAGAGTAAATACTATTTTTTTGAATAAAAATACTATTTAAATTAGCTTTTACCTGAAGGCCATATAAATATTCTGTGTTAAATATTACACCTATGCCTAATATTAAAAAAATTCCCAAGCTAGGTCCACGCACTTGGGAAAATTTTCTCAAACCTGCCAAAGACCATAATAATTTTGGTAGTTGAGAACTGAAATAAAATATATAAAAAGTCACAATGCATTTAGAAATACAATCAGAATATGAAAGTTGCATATGCCTTGGTTTTTGATCAGGCCTGACCATGTTCTTCAAAAAAAATTTTCAGGCCAACTTAAAATTAAAAAAAATTTTTGGAAAAATAAAAAGTTTAGCAAGCTATGTCCAAGTCCAAATTAATTGTGAAAAATATTTCCCATGCCCAGGAAAACTCAGAATAATTAATTTTTTCCTTAGATCCAGAAAAATAGTAAGAGGTTTATAAAAATTAAATCTGTCTAATATATGTATATATTAATTGATAAAATTTTTCAAAATTATCATCAAATGAAGGGGAAATATCTGATTTACCTATCATTATATAAAATTCATGAATACATATTAAAGTACCATGCTGAAAATATGTTCATCCTAATTTAAATTTTAAACAAACCACCACCTTTTCAAATGATTTATTATTTAGTTAAAAATTATAAAATTAAATTTAAGAAATTGATATTAAATTACAATAGAAAAAATACAAAGATATTTTAAGTTATCAAATAATAGGAGGTTAATTACAAATCATAGTCAAATTATATATAAGTAAAACAAAAATGTTATACATTCCATCAAAAATGTTATAATACATTCTACAATTATGAAGTTATGAGAAAATATACAACACTATATTATAATAGATTGAATTATTTAATATTGAAGTATTAGTAAGTGAACAATTTTTACAATTTATACAAAATTATTTAATTCTTTTTTTTTCTTCAAAATATTACACTGCTAATAATCTCTGCAATTTCTCTTGGAACATCTATCAATTTTCTCTTAAACCATACAATTAATATATTACAATAACTCAGGTAACATTAAATGGTGCTGGAAAATAAGGATCTACTATATGTCAAACAATAATATGGTTAAAAGAAAATATTGATGATATTACCAAATATTCTGAGTCAATTTTAAAATTGACAGACAAATGTAAAATATTAAAAGGCAAAAATATAAAATAGTTTTTTATTTTAGGAATCTAAAAATTGACATCTCGGAACAGTATTATTTTATATATGTATATAAAAGTAACTGCATCATACCTAAATGAAATTGCTATCCCCATGTCTAATGATTCTGTACATTATGTTACTATTATTTGTTATTTATTATTGAATAATAGCTAGATCAAGATAATGCCAACAAAGAAAATGAAAACCCTATAGTTATTAATAAAAATATTCCTATTCCTATATTATTTCTATTATAATTTTATTATATAACTCAAATATAATAACTTATATATATATTTTATGGAAAAATTATCTTTCAAAATAAAAGTTATTATTAGTTTTCCAACTGTTTATTAAATATTGATACAATTATTTACAACACATTTTTATTTATTAAGGATATAAATAAAAACCATTATCAAATAATAAGTTCATACAAAGTTTAATAACTGAAAGGTAATATAAAATAATAAATACAATTAAATATTTACATATCTTTTAATAAATAACTAATAATTAAATCATATCAAACATTTTGATTTTAATTTTTTTAAAACTTAAATGTGTCCAAAATGTTGTTATTAATTTGTGAAAATTTTAAGGATTTTTTTAAAAAAATTTAGACGCAGCTTAAAATAAAATTTTAATTAATTATTATTCAATAAATTTTTTGGATTTAAAGAAAAATTATTTGAAGAATAGAATAATATTCTTTAAAATAATAAAAATAAAATTTGGTATCTATTCTATCTCCAGTTTTGGAATAATAATAAAAATGATTATTTTTGAAAGGAACTATTATATATACACATACACTTATTATAAAAAATTATTTAAATGCTTTTAAGACCTTCGTAAATACTCTTTTAACTTCTCCCTTAACAATCTTAATTGCTATGTATGTATACCTAATAAATTAAGACCCTGGATTTTGACCCTTGCCAATAATCTTCTAAATAGCCAATGGATACCACCACAGAGTTTTTGTGACACAATCAGGTTATGATCATATTTGATTTAAATCTATGATAGGAGGTCTTTGTTTAAAAGAGTATTTATGAAGGTCTTAAAATTTTTGTGATAAGTGTAGGTTTTATATGAAATTCATGTGTATATTTAATAGTTCCTTTCTAAAATAATCATTTTTATTATTATTCCAAAACTGGAGATAGAATAGATACCAAATTTTATTTTTATTATTTTAAGAAATATTATTCTATTCTCCAAATAACTTTTCTTTAAATCCAAAAAATTTATTGAATAATAATTAACTAAAATTTAATTTTAAGCTACATCCAAAATGTTTTAAAAAAAATCCTTAAAACTTTCACAAATTAATAACACTTTGGACACATTTAAGTTTTAAAAAAATTAAAATATTCAAAATGTTTATCAAAGTATACTTTAAAAATAGTTTTGATAACAAAATTGTTTTACCCCTATACTGTGACATTAAAACTCTCCTTTATTCTACCCAGTTTGAAGTTTAAATTTCTTTGAAGCCAATTTTAAAAGACTTGAATATTCCAATATATTAACGTTTTCTGTAGGTTAACTATATAAACTATAAAAAATTTAACCTTATGAAGATGGTAAAATGTGTTATAAAATTAAATGAATGATAAGGTGTTACAAGATTACTATCATTTTTATTGGACAAATTTTTTTTAAAAGAACATTATTGGCTAAATTTGATTGACGTTTTTTGAGGATTATTATAATAGATTATTTCTAAATTTATTTTTATAAAAATAATAATTTTTTAATAAAATATTATTTTAGATTTTCGGGAAATTAATAACACAAACTTTTTGATCGTTCAGAGACGGATAACTCTATACGTTATGTTTTTTAGTTATATTCATAGACATTGTTTTTCTAAATACTGTAATGGAATTTTCCGAACGAATCTAATATTTTATATATTCAAATATATTCACGAATATCAATTATTTACCTATTATTTTATAGAGTTAAAAATATAAATGTTTTATCTGGAAATGAATTAAAAAATATTACATAATCTAATATAATTCCTTAGGTAAATTGACTTTGCCTTGCACATTATAATATTTTAATCTTGATTGGATATTTTTTTATAAATCCATGAATAATGTATGAGAGACTTGAACATGGACAATATTTTTTTCAATTAGATTGTAGAGCCTTATAATAATATAAATTAGATAAAATTTTAAATTATTTTGCTTTCTAAATAACTTTCATATGTATTCTTTCCAAGAAAAAAAGCACCAAATATTTTTATTTTCCTCTAAGCCCTTATAATTTTCCCTCTTAGAAAATTGCACCTTTTTCCTCATTCCAATTTTTCGGATGGGATTTGAAAAAAAAATA